GTTTTTTTTGCACTCATTATTAATTCAATGCAGGAGTGTCAAACTCTGGTCCTCGAGGGCTATCTTGTATATTTTAGAGTTTAAACATTAAATATCTCGTCTTATTCTGTTTTTATTTGTTTTACACCAGAGATTCTTAACCCATGGGCTGCGGCCCACAATTCAGGGCCTCAAAAGAACAATTATGGGCAGGTTACAATATAAAAATGTTTGTCATAATCATGTCTTGTGATTATTTGACAGGAGTTTTACTTTTAAACTGTAAGTGTATTTAATTTAGTTGTGTTAGTTATGATAATTTAGTTATGATGTAATTACAATAATAAGTAAACCAAGATTTAGAATAATTATCATTTTGATCCATACATTGGTAATGTCTGACTGGGCCTCGTGTCACTTTATGTTCAATAAATTGGGCCCTGATGTCAAAAAGGTTAAGAACCMCTGGTCTAATTCACTGGTTCCCAACCTTTTTACACCTGTGTACTCCCTGAGTCATTTTGTCATACCACTAGTACCCCTCTGTCAAACATATTGAGGATTCTCCACAACTATAATGTACAACAGCTGATTATTAAATGAAGATTATTTATTTAGAACGTTTAATTCTCAGGCATTATATTCTTTTAACTCAAATTAAACAAAGATAAATATGTCCTGATGCATCTCAGTAATCCAGGTAAAAAATCAAAGGAAAAAAATTGTATAGGTCCTCTGGACGGATAAAGATAAATATGTTGCTTTGAAAGTGAATAAGTAATTAAATAAATAAAGCAGGTAATGGCAGGTGCAGGAAGCAGCAGCGTCATCAGAAACTCATTCAATTAAGCAAATCCTGTGAGATTACACGTTTTATACAGGATTCCATTTTGTGTCACTTTCATGATTCCATCTGCAGTTTCCTCATTGCAGAAATCATAGGGCCCTACATTTCTCAGTCCTTTTTTTATTTATTATTTTACACATCTAGGAAATGTTTCCACGTAACCCCTGTAATATGCTCGCAAACTCCAAGGGGTACACGTACCCAGTGTTGTATAAAGTACCTGAAAGTGATACTTGAGTAAAAGAATAAGTGTCTTATCATAAAATTACTTTGGTAATAGTTAAACTCTTTTTTAGGAATATTACTCGAGTAAAAGTCTTAAAGTATCTGATTTACTTTGTACACGTACCCAGTGTTGTATAAAGTACCTGAAAGTGATACTTGAGTAAAAGAATAAGTGTCTTATCATAAAATTACTTTGGTAAAAGTTAAAGTCTCCTCTAAGAATATTACTTGAGTAAAAGTCTTAAAGTATCTAATATATTTTGTACTTTAAGTATCAAAAGTAAATTTCAATTCTGACATAAAATGTATTTAAGTATTAAAAGTAAAAGTATGGCATAAAATGTACTTAAGTATTAAAAGTAAATTTCTGGCATAAAATGTACTTAAGTATTAAAAG